TCTTAATTTCAAATTATAGATCATCCTGTTTATGTGTATAAAAGAACATGCCTTTTTTTGCCAATTTTAAAACTGAACCAAATATCTCTCTCTCTCTGAGTGGACTTGGTGACTTTTTCATTTTTGGCCGGTAAGGGGAAGGTGTAAATTTTATTTCGTTTTTCTATTTTTCCCAGAAAACTTGGATAATTTCACGATTTTTTCTCATATTCCCTCCCCCTGTTCTTCGTAGTGTATCACAATATCGAACTTTTCTCTATTTATTTTTTTAGAGGAAGGAACGACAAGCATTGTATTCTAATTTATTAACATTTCGTTGAGTCATTTGTATAATAATTTTATAACTTCAGCGTTTTTTATTAATTTTTTTATTTTTCACTAGTAGAACTGAGTAATACAGCTCGTTTTATTTAATTAATAATAAATAAATCAATAATGAAGAATAAAAACAAAGATATGAATAGGAAACGCAAACAATTGATATATAAAACACATAGATAAATAACTTAATAACCTATATAGTCTATAGCTATAGATTATAATATATTTATATAGGTACTATATATAATATATACGCTGCTTATTTTTGTTCGTTGGAATAATGTAATGTATGCATATTTGAAATCTTTGATGTGTAATATGTAATAAAATAAAAATATAGGTCATTGTAAGAACAAAAAACATTATCGACAGCAATGGACTATAAAAAAATCGTCTATTACATTATCTCGTGTTGTTTTCATCATAGCATCGCCGTAATCTGCGGGTCATAGAACACAATTTTATATCTGTACAAATCGCTACACTAATTTTTATACTCGTGTACCCGCGAACTTATACTTATTAAATAAATAATATGTGTATCAATTATTCTAAACGGTAAACAGCTTCAATGCCATTATTTATAAGTAAAAAGCGACTAAAACGTTTTTCAGGTTAAATTACATGTATCGGATGTATATTATAAGGTTTAATTATTACGGGCATAATATGCGTTGCATTGTATGTAGGTACTGCATATCACGTGTAACGATTTTAAGAGAAAATAATTTAAATTTTTATTCTAATGAGTTATATGGCATTGTTAGTTATTTTTTATTTTATTTCGTGTTAACTACTAAATACTTTATATCATACATTTATTTTTAATGATATCATATAATAATAAACGAGCCGTAGATAAATAATTTGTATAATTGTATAATACATATAGGCGCCACAAGTTTCTGTAATCGGAATTCTCTAAAAATATTTTTATAGTCCGTTTACAATAGCCGCACGCTTTATGCAGTTGTGTACAATCTCGAGTAACAATTATTTGTATTGCTGTTGTATTATAATTTAAACTAAACCCCGATATTTCTTATCAAGATTAAAAACCCAAATAGTTTTAACATACATTATTATTATTATTTCAAATTTAAAATATAGCATTTTAGAGGATGTGTAAAATGTGCGTACTTTCGAGTAATGCTTTCAATTCAGCGATTGATTTTTCTTGTTGTTCAGGTGTTTCTCTGAGTTCTTTTTCGGCCACATCCAACAGCTCTGGTGACAAATCGTCGTCCAGTTCTAAACGGAGTTTGAAGTCTCCAATTTGTATGCACGGCACTTTATCCAAATCCGATAAAAATGCCTCGCATCCTGTAAACAATAATAAAAAGGATTACAACAAAGTCGTTGAGCATAAAATTACTCAGATTGATACATGCTGAGTTTAAATATCTGTAATAGATATGTCTAAATTCTAAAACTATTAAATATATATTATATTTAACCAATAATAATAATGAATTTTTTATTATCTAATTAAGTCCAATATATTTAAATTGACAATAAATGGTATTTAATGGTGAGTAACTTAACGACTTTACATACCTAATATATTAATTAACATTTAATGAGTTTAATTTCAGAACTATACATACAGTGTTTATAATATTATAACGTATACTATTGAGTATGAACAAGTATACGAGTATAGTATATGCCATATAGCTTATGGCGCAAGAAGGACCGATGATAAAAAGGGGTATTTTAGAAAAAATTAATTTTAAAATGGGCTAATTTTTAAAATAAATTATGACGTATTATTTATTTTAAAATATTGAGTTATATAAATGTGTGATGAGTTGGTAAATACGGCATAAATATGTATTGTTATAATAATTAAATACTTATAATATAATAAATCCAATATATATTGGAGAAAATTTTATCAACCTACTTTAATGCTAAAAGTAAAATAAATAACTTCAACAGCTAGATCAAAAAACATATCACGAAGTATAATGATATAAGACAGATCTTTTCTGCCTAGAATCATCTTTTGTATATAATGATATAATATACATATCATTGAATTCAAATTTAACACACTCATAATAGTAATACCCACTCAGAGCAGTATAATTGCGAATCTTTTTATTATAATTATTGTAAATTATCTTCTATAGATTGTTAGTCTGATATAGCTTTTAGCCACTATAAATTTTATAAAATTAAAAAATTTGTATAGGTATTATAAATAAAAATATAAAGTATATTTGTAAAAAAGAAAATGTTATTTTAGTAAGCTTTTAAAAATGATAAAATATCTTACAATAATTTTTTATTTGAATTAAAAAAATAATACTTTAGATTTTGAATTATTCAATAGAATTAAAAAGTGTGAAATGTGTTTGTTTTTCACTAACCAATCTGTAGGTCATACATTTGATAAATAAAGACAGATAATATTATATTTATTGTATTTATCACAATGAACAAAAAAAAAAAAAAAAAATCGTGAAGTATAAACTGGCCCGCAGTATAAATATAGATTTCGAATTCGACCCGCAAGTTAAAAAAGGTTGAGCACACCTGTACTACACATAGATACTAAGATACACACTACATATACAGATATTTATATATTTACTTTTAGTTCGCGTGCAGACAGTTAAATTACAAAAAAACATAATCACCTGCTTGAATGAAACTGGTGCATAATATACTTATACCTATACGTATACCTATTATACGAGTAGAAATCAGGGTACCAAAATGCGGTTTCGTTGTAAACTTGGTTATATATATATTATATGATAATATTTTGCCCATATGGTTTTAATAAGACACACACACACACACATATATACAAAATATATATAGTACTTAATATAATAACCGGTCTGACTAGTCTAAGGAATGATACGCATTGCCGATTCGTATAATATTATATTATTACTAAATTATGTTAAAAATATCGACTGAAACTTCAATATGTATATATATATACAAAGTGATTCATCAAGAATGCTCATCTAAAACTTATTCAAATCCTGATTTTTAGAATTTATGAAATATACTTAAAAATAATATTTTTACAGTATGATTTTTTTTGTACTGCTTAATGAGTGTCCAGTGATAATACAAATCTTTGAATTGAAAATCTATTTTTTTTAATGTAAATTATTTAGTGGATAATTTTTTTTTTTTAATTTTGATATACCTAATCAAAAATTCAAATAAGTAATTTCTCAGTTATTAAAATGTTTATATTAAAGGCGCTTAAGTTATTAAAAATGGGTTTATAGAAATATAAAACAGAATATGTATTATTGGATCTAGTATTAATTATACTGGATAATTTTCATAAATTATAAATGCTAATAGATTAATATTAATTACTAAAATTGTCAAACCTTCGTAGTCCACTTGTTCTTGTTTTAAAAACAAAAGTTCGCATACATACAGAACTCTTCTTAAGTAGTACAACCAAATCTCAAGAATTTAAAAAAATATTTTTTTAAGTGCATTTGGAAATTTTAAAAACTAGATTTTGAATAACTGTATTATTGAAGAAAGAAGACAGTGAGCATGTTGGCCAATCACTCTGTATATAATATTTTAATGTCGGATCGGTCCTGTTCTGTTTGTATTGTACAGTATGACAGTCCACAATTTAGTAAGTTAGCAGAGAAGCCGAGTTCATTCGCCTCGTGTAGTTATGTACCAACTTCAATTGATGGTCGAAGTGACTTAGCAGCGAAATATATACGTGCGTAAGTGTCGCATATATAATAGGTACAGAGAAAAGTCTGGTTTTAAATAAGTACAATACTTTGCGTTGGAATAAATTATTACATTACATACGCAAGTTATGTATACACATATTTCATTCGTGTCATTCGCACTTATATTATGTATACGAACAATAGACTTCTTAAAAAAATAAAACCAATCAATGATAGTGACGTGATTTGCTATCAAAATACGGTGAGGATCCTCATCTCCACATCGATCAAAACAACGCCGTCGATGTAAACTTGCCACAGATTAAAATAAAATAATACTATCACGATATTATGATTAGTATCGTCAGAAAATTATACATTATAATCATACCGATATTTCAATATTGGACCGAGCGAGTGTGGTTTATTTTTCATCTTTATAGAAAAAGAAATGCGTTCCTTATTCGAACTCGGTTATATTATAATATATTATATCGTTTCGACTAGATCAAAAAACGAAATTTTGTTCGACTGTTTTACATAAGCTGTTCTACTAGATTATTCGGGAGGTCAATTTTTGTGAGAATTAACATAACGCGCCATAAACATTTCGGTTATCGATTATATTAAACGTGACGTGCGTACTTTAAATAAATTATTATGATTAAAAATGTATGTGTGTCAAAAGCACGACTTTATTGATATTTACAAGAGTTTTATTTCTGAAAATGTTAATGTGACTCCGCGAAGCATAAGAGATCGTCTGGTTATAAAGTTATCATTTAGAAGGCTAGACTTACATAATATACAGTTTGCATTTAGTATTATGATTTATGAATTATCATAATATTATGGTAATCGCGAGCTCGTAAAAACGTTCATTCATATTTCGTATTTCATTTTCAGACAATCGGACGTGACAAATAATTGCTATAAAAATCTATTGAACAATAATAAAACACTTAAATATTATTATTATTATACGGTATGTA